AACTGCCTTTAGAATGGGGTGGGCAATTATTTCGAGTGGAGGGCTGCTTACTGAGTTTTGGCAAGCCATCGAGGGCCGCATGACAGGCAGCCAGGGGCAGATAAATATTAATTTTCTAAATTTTTTAGGGGCCCTATGGGCCAGATAGAATGGCCTGGCAGACCACATGCAGACTGTGGGCCGCATTTTGCCCACCTCTGCTTTAGAATATACCCTCTAGCAAATTTATTTCTTCAACACCACTGTGGAAGTTTGCAAAGGCCACATCACCACTGCATTGTATCAGAAATCTACCAACTGCTACAGCTACCAACATGCCAGGAGCTCTCATCCCAAGTACACCGCTAGATCCATCATCTCCAGCTAAGCTCCACATTACAGCCCTAACTGCTCTGATCCAACTGCCCGCGATGCACACCTTAAGAATCTGGAGCAGGGATTCCTACACTTACAATATAATTTGAAAACTGGAGCTACTCAAATCAACAGAGCCAAACTCAGAATCTGCTCCGACCTGCTCCAGTACCAACCCTGAGACAAGAACAGCCAAGTCCCTTTGGTTGTCACCTACTCCTTCACCTGCTTCTCTACCAATGTCATATACTCCATCACCTGCTTACAGTGCCCCTCTGCTGTCTACATTGGACAGACAAGGCAATCCCTTCATGTAAAAATAAATGAGCACCAATTTGACATCAATTTTAGAAAGACACGCAAGCTTGTGGCAGAACATTTGAACCATCCTGGATATTCCCTCTCTGACCTCTGATTGGCTATTCTTAGACAACAGAACTTCAAAAGTGAACTTGAACAGGAAATTGTGGAACAAGAAATCACACACAGACTTGATTTTGTTAACTATGGTCCAGACCAAGACTATAGGTTCTTAACCCCTTGCCTAGATTAAGCGTTAATAACCCCTGTATCCTGCATTGGAATAGCTGTTCTATTTTTGTCTCTCCTAATGAGCTTGCTTCGCCCAGCAGTGGCCCTTCTTTTTCCTCCCCCTTCCCTACCCTTTGTATTCTAAGTGCTGCTTTCAGCTTCCTGCAGTCCCTTCATAGCCCACTCTTTACAAAATTTATGCTATACATCTCTGATGTAGCCATAGGGTACAAATCTACCTTGCCTTCTAAAAAAAATATAAAACATAACATACTGCCTGTTCTTGCAAAATGAAGGTCCAGAAAAACCATGTGTTGATGCTCAGCATCTGCAGACCTATAGATAATGCTCTGTCCAATCACACTGATTTTAAGACACATTCCATGACCATTTTTTTCCAAATGTCTTGTTCTCTCGTTCTCTGAAATCCCCTCAGATGTAGTAAGGAAGGCATAATGTGACTCTGTTCAAATAGAAACCAGGAGGTGGAGGGAGCCCAAGATAAAAAAAGTAACTTTCTTTAGAAACTGTACAACAGGGCAAGCACACAGATGCACAGTGTTTCGGAGCCAAGGAAACCATTCTGAGTCTTCTTATTTAGTTTGAAGAACTAGATTTGAAGACAGCAAGTACAGTTATTGTATTTCACTATGCTGGTTAACCCTGAACACTTCTCGCCTTCAGAAGAAAAGTGCAAGCCACAAATAAGTTTGTGTGTTTCTCCTTTATGTGGCAAATGAAGAATAAGCATTAACACAATGAATTTACATGAAACCATTTCACATTACCATGCTTGAAGGGGAACAGCACAACAGTCATCTCTTTAAACCATTATTTTGATCTTTTATAACAAACACTTTGATGGTTAAAACCAAAAGAAATAAAAAAATGAAAGAAAAGTCTGTTTCATTATATTTTGCTCTTTTCACATTGTGTTGTGCTTGGATGGTAAAATGAGGCTGATCAGTTTAATTTTATCGATTTTTAATTTCTGGTTTTCATGCAGTAGCAAATTGCTACCATTGCTTAGATTGACACTATTTTGGGGGGACTTTAAAGTTCCCTCTGTCTCTAAATTGGTTTGTGTAATTGAAATTAATCTGAAAACTAAAATTTACCATATTTACCTGAATCCAAGACAACCCTGAACTTAAGATTTTAGAACCCCGGTTATTAGATTTTAGACAGAAAATTATACATGTGTTTTAACTTGATGGGTTCTTAGACCCTGAACTTCTGTATCTAGTTATTGGAGGGTCCTCTTAAATTCATCCCCCCAACACTGCCACCAGAAAAGTAGTGGCAGAGAAAGCAGTGACTAGGGGCAGGCAGCTTGCCCCGTTCCCCTTGTCCCCATCTTGCAACTTATCCCCGTGTCTGCCCCCTGCTGCCTTCCCCACCTAGTCACTTTTCCCCCTTCTGGTGCCTGCTCCCCAGCCCTTACCTTTGCAGATGATCTGTCTCTGTCTCTGCCAGGTCCATGGAGCATGTGGCCAGGCCAGGCAATAGCAGAGGCTTTGGCTCCAGCGCCCAGTCCCAGTGGAGGCTGGAGCCACAGCTGCTCCCCCTGCTGTTCTACACACCTTCTGTGTCCCTTTCCCTGTGCTCCGCCTGCACCACATTCCCCCTTCCTCACACCCCTTCCCTACAGTCCCCTTGTTCCATGCTCCCCTTCCTCCATGCCCTTTCCCCACCCTCCCCCCTGCACTATGCCTCCCTTTCCTTGTGTTCTCCTTGCAGTGCACCTCCCTTTCCTTACACTCTTCCCATACTATGCCTATTTTCCCCAGCACCACACTCCCCTTCCCCATGCTCCCCCACAGCACAGCATGTCTCTTCCCCATGCTCCCCACAGCACTGGCTGCTTCTTCCCCATACTCTCCCCAGTACCACGCACCCTTTCCCCCACGCTTTCCCATGCTCCACATGCCCCTTTCCCCACACTCCCCTCACACTGCATGTCCCTTCTCTATAACTTTCCCCCACACCCCATGCTCCTTCCCCTATACTCCCCCTGCCCTGCATGCCCCTTTCCCCATGCTCCCCTGCACCCAGTGCTCCCTGTCGGCTGTGTGAGCCACCCTGGCTTTGTTCAGAGCTGCAGCAGCTGCTTGCCTGGCTCATACTTGAATCTAAGATTCAAGTTTTCGCCCCTGTGCTGAATGGAGTAAGGAAATCTTATCTTAGATTTGAGTGAATATGGTAAAACAAATAAAGCATTATAAAATATTTCATTTCTAATCACTTTTTAAAGATTTTTACATCTTGTGTTACATATTCAAACCCACAATGTTCACTGAAGACAACAAACTCAGCTGTATTTTCATCTATGCCTGAGTTACTCCCCTGATAGTAACAGAGTTAACCTGGGTTTTTGGGTGCTTGAAATGGCCAGCTAGTCTGATTTCTGTTACTCTTGATCAGGCAATGGTAGAAATCTCTAAAGGCACTGAACTCTCTTGGAAATCTAAGGGAGGTAGGCATGTAAAGTTTAAAAATTTGGCTTCATGTGAATATCATGGCTCTAAACAGGTTTAGAAAATCTGCTCTTATTTTAAAGACCTGAAGAAAAATGTCCCTTCATCAAGCTGAGCATAAAGCATTTAGGAATAAAAACTATAGTGTCACTATTATTTTACTGTGGTGAGATTTAGACACCTCAGTCACAGCCCAGGATCCTATTACTATTGGAACTAAACAAACAGAACTCCCTGCTCCCCAGATCTTGCATACATTGATGTAATTTAGGAAACACTACATTTAATCCTGGTCTGCATAACTCACAGCTGTGTCAAGGGTAGGAGACATCTGGGGGATTTGCTGACTTCTGAAATGAAATAACTCACCTAGAGAAGCCATCTTGTGTAGGCATGTTTATAATGGACCACAGTTGTTGTAACCACCCAAGCCAAGTACTGTTCATTAGCATTGGTGCCCATACCTACTAGAGGGGAGGTTTCCAGCTTTTAGCTCAGTGCTTAATAGTTAAGGTATCACCAGGCCACAGACTGAGTGTTTCCCAAACTGCTCTGTAACTCACCGACATGTAATATTTATTAGGAAAAATAAATAAAATCACATTGGGCAAGTTTCTGCACCAACTGAAGCTGGAGTCCAGATGAATGCCCAAGGGCCCCTCCCTTGTCTGTCTTACTAAGCCACATTTTCTGTAGCAAATTCTCTTTCTCCTGTACCCACAGATCTTGCTTGGCTGTCCAGTAGGCCATCTTCAAGAGAAAAGATGGAGAGGACACTGGATAATGCCTGCTCCATGGTCTGGTAGCTAGGGGTGGTTAGACACATGCTCCAAGAAGAAGGAAGGAGTGGGTAAGGGAGGGGCAGGACTTTAATTAGAGCAGCGTCAGTGAGGGGATGCTGATACCTGTGATGCTGGAGTCTGCTGGAGTGCAGGAATTACCACGCTCCAGCAGACTTGATTAATCGAGTCTGCTTCAACATGCTGTAATTACAGTGCATCAGAGCAGCCTCACTATACGTGTATAGGCACCTTAGAGCACTTTCCCAAGAAGCAGGAAACACAGGATTGAGCCCCCTATTGAAGGGGACCTGGAGCTCATGTCTTCCACTGCTCCCTTTGCAGCTGCTTTAACTATTACACTGGAAGGCGGGAAGCCTTCATTCTTCTCTCCCCTGTTATTTCTTCCTCCAACTCAGCTTCCAAGCCTTATCTGGATTTATATATCTACCTGGTTGAATCTGTTTTCCCTTCCTACCTGCCTGGCTAACATAGACAATGTTGAACTCCAAACTGTGCATAAATGTTAGTAAGTGCAATTGTACGGCTGTGTATCTACTACTTAGAAACATAAGGGGTAAATAAGACCTGGCCCTTTGTGCTTCATGGGTTAGGCAGAGTACATAGATCTTACAAGTCTGTTTACTGGTTTGTGTACTAGAAAAGTAATGAGACAAGTGAGTTGGGACAGAAGCTGCTCAGCATTGTTGCATTTTTCAATACATGACAGAGTCTGGATCTAAGTAATCTGCCAGGGCTGTATGAGTGAAAATGCTGTTGCATGCCAGGGATAAGCTGGAGCTTGTAGATATAAGGATTTTGTTCCTGCTCTTCACAAGTTCCTTTTTTTTTTTCCCAGCTCAGGGGAGACTGTCACTAGTGTGACAAGTCTATCCCCTCTACAGCCCAAGAAAGTAAAGAAAAAGAAGGAGAAAGTAGAGCAACCACCAGCTGTCCCAGCAAAAGGTATGTGACAAGGAATATAACCAATGGTGCTGTATTTCACGCAGGGAGAACCTGAGGCGAACCAATTCATTTCTCAGTGACTCCTGTTTCCCACTGGTCAAATGGGGTGGGGGGAAGGGTGGGGGGATATCTACAGTGCCTCTTACAGACACTGTGAAGCGCTTTGTCACACTGTTAGGTGTTCTGGCATTCACAGTTGCAAGGTGCTAGAGTAGAGAGGGCGGTTTTGCTAGCTTGTGTCCATGATGGTGGTAGGAACTTTGGAGTGTGCACAAAAGGATCCAAGTTGCACTGTATGGGGAGAAAGGAGAGAAATCAAAGACAGATGAGCTAAAGAGCCATGTTGGCACAGCCAGCTACACATGTATGCATATAGTTTAGGTGCTATTTAATGCCAACTAAAAAAGTGTCTACTATTTTGCATAGTTCATGTATTACAAATATTACGGTATATTGAGATCTACTTAAAGATACCTAATCAATTCCCACTTCTGCAGCCAGGTTTTCAAACACCCAGCAGCTCCTACAGTAATACCTGTGGAGAGTTTTGCAAAAGAATTTGTTCCTAAACAGCACTTTTTGCTGTCGTGCTATACTGCTGCCATCAAAACTTAAAACGACTGATGCATGTACTAAAAATAACTGAATTGTGTTAATATGAAGTAATCGTTTGATTTTTATTTTTATAGCTCCAATAGCCAACAATTTTCCTAAACCTAAGTTGCTGAAACCTCAGAGAAAAGTGATTCTGGTAAGTACTCTTATATGAAATTATTTCCCCCTGTATTCTATTCTCTCAGTATAATTTTTGCAGATTCTCAGTTATTTTGCAGATGTGATTATTGCCAACAGCCACTGTTCAGCTAGTCATGAAATGGACACCTAAAAAGTTTTTGTTTTGTTTTGTTTTTTGGGGGGTTTTTTTGCATGCTGCATTTGTGATATTTTCTCTTGGGAATCCATTTCCCTCTGCTGTTGGAGCCCTTGGTTACACTTGGATCTAGTTCTGAAAAACTTCTAGT